AATTTTACAGAACCTGGATGTGGATCCGTACCTACTTGTGCTAAACCCTGTCGCTTTGGATATGTTTTGGATGAAAACAACTGTCCACTTTGTGAATGCAAAACAGGTAATAATGTTCTGTAGTAGTTTTTATATGAAACATGCATTACCAAATGAAATTAACCTGATTAGTTTAACATATACGTTATAAGATAAACGCATTTCACGAATCGGATAAACATGATAAATACGGATGTAATAAATAGGTAGACAAAAATAAATGTTCATAAAAGGTGTGTTTAGTAATATTCGGGACCTGGGTAGCTCTCAGATATAAAATGATAATGAAGGAATGTTTGTATACCTCACAAAAATACCTTATTAATATAGATTTATTTCGTCTTCAAACCGTTGTTCCACTACTAAACTGTCTCTTGTAATTACTAGTACACTGGGTACAATAAAAACCTGATAACAAATTGTTCAAATAAGGCCTTTAAAAATAGTGGAATTAATTACTTTTGGAGTGTCAAAAAATCGTTTGAAGTACTTAATAAATTAAAGCTTATATTGGTGATTTTGAATCTGTTCAAAGTTTTGATTTTTTCTACCCTATATACCACTTTGACTCATATTCTTATTGAGAAAAAAATCCTACACCTAATTAAATGGGCATTTAAAAAGTCAGAATGCGAATATATATGTTCAAACTCTTTTAGGTCATTTGTTAGTAACAACAAACAAAAGAACTGTGTCAATTAGACCTGCTTTGATACTAAAACTGCCCTTGAATCTTTACTAGATAACATTTGTGTACGCTTTGGAGATTCCGTATGTCGTCAAGTTATCGGAATTCCAATGAGAACTAACTGTGCACCACTTATTGCGAACCTGTTTCTGTATTGTTATGAGTTACCATTTATGACTAAAATCCGCAAAGACCCATCGAAACAACATCTGATACAAAAATGTAATAACACTTTTAGATATTTGGATGATATATTGGCTCTCAATAATTACGACTTCAGTATGTACACTAAAGAGATGTATCCTGCTGAACTGACTTTAAATAAAGCTAATACTAACAATGAACACTGCACTTTCCTGATATCTATATCTTTAACGGGAAGATTCATACCAAAATTTACGATAAAAGAGTTGATGTTTTATTTCCTATTGTTAATTATTCATTTTTAGATGGTGACGTTCCCTTGTCACCATCTTATGGTGTTTATATATCTCAATTTGTTCGATTCGCCCGTGTATGTAACAAGGTATTTGATTTTAAAGAAAGAAATCTCTGTATTACTGAAAAATTATTACAGCAGGGTTTTCGATATCATGAACTAGTCAAAACATTTACTAAATTTTATCATCGGTACAAGGACATCATTCATAAATACAAATAAACATGCAGACATCGTATACGTTCAGATATTTCACATCCAATCTTTTATGGAATTATTCTATACAAATTACAAAAACGTCGCCATTCACCTCAAAAGCTAACCAAACCTTTGAACAGACTTGTTCAGTAGGGATATAATTACGATACTGTTGTAAGGTCATTAAAGATGGCATTTCTTGGAATTAATATTGATTCGCTCATAGGTCTTTGCATCGGAAATAGACACATTTATTCTAAAACCATTTGTTGGCATGATACGGGTTATGATCATTTTCATATATTTTATGATGGTATGATACTAAACCCCTAACGGGAGAGATTGTGCTTGATTTTCATATGATGAAGACATAATCTGTCAATCAGTTAAATTGCGGTCGAGAGCTGACATGTCAGTAACTGCTAGTAGTCCTTTGTTCATTTATGTATCATTGTCATTTTGCTTAGTTTTTTCTGTTACCTATTCTGACATCGGACTTTGACTTCTTTTAAACTGAGTTTTACTGTGCGTTTTGCTATGTGTTTGTTTATTATACATTGGCTAGAAGTATAGGAGGAGGGTTGAGATTTCACAAAACATGTTTAACCCTGCTGCATATTTGCGCCCAAGTCAGGGACCTCTTGGCCTTTGTTAGTCTTGTATTTTATTTTTTTTTATAATATTAGTTCATTTATATGTTTCGGAGTTTAGTGTGACGTCCACTTTCACTGAACCAATACATATTTTTGTTTAAGGGCCGGCTGAAGCACGCCTCCGGGTGCGGAATTTTCTCGCTGTGTTGAAGACCCATTGGTGGCCTTCGGCTGTTTTCTGCTTTTTTGTCGGGTTGTTATCTCTTTGACACATTCACCATTTCCATTTTCAATTTTATCATTCTTTTTTGTTTCGTTTTATTGATAATATGACTTTACGGACTCTAAATTTTGGGCAATATTTGGGGTTTTGATGGGATTTTGTACGCCTTTTGAAGTCGTTGAAATGCATTTAAATATCGAAAAATATATACCATATGTAACATTTAAATCTCGAAAGAAAACAATCAATTTTTAAAATAACAAATTCTTACTGCTCACACATATTCACTATTTACGTGTACTTTGCCTTTACGAGGTATTTTATATTTGTGAGTGTAAAAGAAACATCTAATTAAAAATAACAACGCTGAATATTAATTATTGTTTTCGAACACTCTGATCATTTGAAATATTGATTGTTTTTATAAATAGTTGTTGTATTGGCATTTGAAGTTAATCGACTCTATCCCGTTTTTTCACTTGTTACATTGATTGATAGCCTTTGATTTTGTCAGTTTTTATTTGACCTTCCCTTTTTGAATTTACCTTGTAGTTTGGTATTTTTGTTACATTTTAAAATCAATAAACAGGAATCAAATATAAACCAATTTACCAGTTTTGGTAGAGATTTTTAAAATACGCAATTTACCTGTAGGAAACTCATATCTTTCAAATTATGCTTTTTTTAGGATGTGCGGGTAATGTTAAACCATTACCATCAACCAGCTGTGGTTCTGGCCAACGAAGATGTCCCCCTCCATACCAATGCAATACACCTCCAGCAGGTGGCAGTGGAGTATGCTGTCCTTATGGTATGCTAAACAGCGTTCTTATTTGCCGTTGTAGAATCTAATGTATTCTGGTTGCTATTTTCAAAAACGTACACCAAAATGACGTAACATTGTTTTTATTTTGGTGTACGAACAATGATATTACCCATAGTACTTTAAAAACTGAAAAGGCCAATTTCTGTAAACCAAATGTATCATTCAACAAATTAACATATAAAATTGATGTTATATAAATAATGAGTGATTTATAATTCATTTTATTTGTTAATATAAAATATGTGGATACGATTTGATTGCAAAAGCATAAGACAACTATAAACGAGAGACCAAATAACATATAGTAAGGATGTTCCCTCCTCTTGTTTTTGAGTTTTTGCTAGATATTCGCAATCCTTTGGTTTTATCCATGTAGTGCCATTAAAAAATTTTCCCCGCTAACCCCTACTTTTCTTTTCATAATTTTATTACATACAGTTTAAAAAGCCATATTTGAAAATCCTATAAAATCCTTGTTATTTTTTCGTATTTTTTAAAAGAAAAAGGGTGCCAATGTTAAATGTATGAAAAATCTAGAGAGAATTATTTCCCGCCAAATTTTTAATGGCTTATATCTTGAAAACAAGCACACGGACCCTTCATTTTTTCTGCTTTTTAAGTTCCTTTATTTATATAATATCAATTTATAACAGTCTTTTAAAAAGCTTGTTATTTTGAAACAGAGTAGCGAACATCCTTAAATCAACTACAGATCAACAATGTGTATAACCTATACAGCAAGCTATAAAAGTTCCCGAGATGATAAAATTAAAAATAATTCAAATTAGAAAACCAACAGCTATTCAAGCATAAATCAACAAATAAATAACAAATATGATTAACAGTTACAAATAACAACCACTGAATTATAGACTCTTGCCTTGAGACAGGCACATCAATTGATTAAACTTATAAATAAACATACCACTTACATGATGTTTCAACGCCTTCAGGTCGTAGTCAAAGCGTGTTAATTACGGTGATTCAAAAGGCAGTTCTTCTACGCATGCAACAATATTGTTAGATAATGCTTTCGTTCATTTGTTATCCATAAATATTTGATGAATTGTGTAGAACGATTCTGTTCCATACGTTTTACATCCATTACAATCTATGATAATCAGCATTAAAAATATTGTATAATAACAATATACTAATAAACAATTAACAGATTCCAGTACAAACAGTGAAGGTTGGTTTAAATAGTTATCAAAGGTACTAGACTTATAATTCGGTACGCAGGACGCGCGTTTCGTCTACATAAGACTCATCAGTGACGCTCAGATAAAAATAGTTAGAAAGCCAAACAAGTATAAAGTTGAAGATCATTGGGGACCTAAAATTCCAAAACGTTGTGCCAAATACGGCTAAGGTAATATATGCCTGGGGTAAGAAAATCCATAGTATTTCGAAAAATTCATAATTTTGCAAACAGTTAATTTATAAAAATGACCATATAATTGATATTCAAGTCAACACCAAAATGCTGGCTACTGGGCTAATGATACCCTCGGGGACGAAACGTCCACCAGCAGTGGCATCGGCCCAGTGGTGTAAATAGTTATCAAAGGTACCAGGCTAAAATAGACCTTATCGCTATTTGGAAATTTGCGACACTTGAACTATCGACGTCATACAAAAATCACTTTTACTTTTTGTCGTCAGACATTTTCGATTGTGACGTCAAAATTTTACGGGAACCTTTGTGATGTCCAGTAATGGTGGACAAATAGCGATAAGATGTTTTGAAAACCGTGCTATTAAGTGAAGTAATACTGATACACGATTTTACATGAAATTTAAAAAGAACAAAAACAAATATCATAACAAATCATATGCTGGACGAAACTGTTAAAACGAATATGACCTGTACAAGGCCAAACTTTTCTTACGAACAGTTTGTTATTACTAGTTGTTCATAGTAGTAGCGCATCTCACATTCATGAATATTTCTAGATATTAATTTTCTATCTTGCAATATGCACATTTTTCAGAATGTCCTCTTGTAAGATGCAGCGAACCATGTCCTTACGGTTACTTTTTTGACCCAAATGGCTGTCAAACATGTGAATGTAGTGAGTATAATATACAAAAAGTATAAAAAAAAAATATTTTGGATAAAGGGTTTAAGTATTTAATTGAATATGAATTATCATTGCTAAAATCTACGTCATTGGTCTCTGGTTGAAAGTTGTGTCATTGGCAATCATATCAAATCGCAGTGTTTGGTGAGTGTTTTGTTTTAATTATAATGTCTTAAGGATGTTCGCTACTCTGTTTCAAAATAACAAGCTTTTTAAAAGACTGTTATAAATTGATAGTATATAAATAAAGGAACTTAAAAAGCAGAAAAAAATGAAGGATCCGTGTGCTTGTTTTCGAGATATAAGCCATTAAAAGTTTGGCGGGAAATAATTCTCTCTAGATTTTTCATAGATTTAACATTGGCACCCTTTTTCTTTAAAAAAATATGAAAAAATAAGAAGGATTTTACAGTATTTTCAAATATGGCTTTTTAAACTATATGTAATAAAATTATGAAAAGAAAAGTAGGGGTTAGCGGGGAAATTTTTTTAATGGCACTACATGGATAAAACCAGAGGATTTCGAATATCTGGCAAAAATTCAAAGACAAGAGGAGCGAACGTCCTTAACTATCATCAACGTGTTAATCGACAGGTTGCATTATTATTCAAATTTTCTCCAATTGACGCGCTAAAGTATGTGACTTTCTATCATTCTATCAGTGGCAATGTAATTAGTGATTAATAAAATGCAGGACTATATTTAAAAATGAACAATGAATAGGAAAAGTCAGAAAGATTTGGTTGGAGGTTTCGCTGCGATTCTTTTAAATTGCAAGGAAGATCATAGGATAAAAACTACTCTGAATAAAATCGACGTATGGAATTTAATTTCTAATTGTTTGCTTAAGACCTTAGAAAAAAGTAAAATTACACAAATAACAAACTCCAAGACAAATTCAAAACGGAAATTACCTTATCAAACGGCAAAATCAAAGCTCAAAGGCATCAAACGAATGGAAAACAACTGTCCTATTCCGCTCTTGGTACAGGCATTTTCTTGTGTAGAAAATGGTGGATGAATAAATTCTGACAAGAAAAAACTTGAGAAAGAGAAGCAAAAGATACCAAAAGGGCCATTCAAACTCATAAGTCGAAAATAAACTGACAACGCCATGGCAAAAAAAGAAAGAGACCAAAAGACACAAAACAGTATACATACACACAACATAGAAAACTAATGACTGCGGATCACGAATCCCACCAAACACCTGGGGTGAACTCAAGTGAAACAGAAGGAGGAGCAGAACATGATTCTATGTACATTGTTTGATTGACATCTACGTTTCTCCTTATTTTTTACTTAATCATGTTAATGTTCAGGAGAATCCGATTATTTTTTTCTGAATTTCTATTTCATCAAATACTTTAATTTTTTTCTTTACTTCTTTTCTATGTATCTATAAATTGATTAGAAATTAGCACAACATACACAAGGATCAATAAAATGTAAAAGAACAAATGCCAGCATCGGATATATAAATACGCAAACACGTATGCAATCCTATGTTTCGTGCTAGACACGCATACAATCGTATGTTTTATGTATACAAATATTTCATTTGTATAAATACATTTGCACTTTTTACAGAACCTAGATGTGGACCTGTTTGTGCTATATCCTGTCCCTTTGGTAATGTACTGGATGAAAACAACTGTCCAACGTGTGCATGCAAAACAGGTAATAATGTTCTGTAGTAGTTTTTAAATAAAACATGCATTACCAATTGAAATTAACCTTATTAGGTATGTGTTTAACATATACGTAATAAGAGAACCTAATTCATAAACTTGATGTATACGGATATAATACATAGGAAGCAACAGAAACAATTTTTCATAAAATGTGTGTTCAGTAATAGGTAGCTTTCAGAAAAAAAATGGTAATGAAAAAATATGTGTATATCTCACTAAAAGGTAAGTACATGAAGAAAGAAGGTCCGGTATACATCAATGAAACAACAGAAAAAATAAGGTCTATACAATGTGTCAAACTTCTCTGTAAGCTTCTTATCGTCACTGACTCTAGAAGAGAAATATATAATTCAAACCGAAAACGTTTTTAAGATTTGGCATAAAATTGTTTACATGGCAATAATTATAATCACATTAAAACAACTAATAACGAAATATTTAACAGGTGATTATAGTAAAGTAATCATTTGCATTGATCCCAGGAATTACAATTTGTCTAATCCGTTCAGAAAATTTATTTTACATACAAATCACAATTCTGAATATTCAAGTCTTTACTGAAAGCAACCTCAAAGTAATCATCCAAGACATATATATACTGTAAACCAACTAATTTTCGCGAGAGATTAATTTTCGCGACTTTCGCGAGTAGAAAAATAACGCGATTATAAATCGTCGCGAATATGTTAAAGTTCGATCTTCTCTTATATTAATACATCAATGAAATTAAAACATCGCGAAAATAAATCGCCGCAAAGTCGAGTTGAAACGGCAAAACACGAAATAAAGTATCCGCGAAAATAAGTTGGTTTACAGTATAGAAATCTTGCTGTTTTGAACGTCGGCTAGACTTTGGCATAGATTTCAAACAACAACGTTGTGAGTGAAGCAAGTAGACACGACAGTTTATATTGTCAATGTCATGAGCATGGAAGTTCGATACACAAATTAACAAATTATAAAAAATAAAGTTTATTGTGTTTAAAGAGAGCAGTAGCACAATAATAGGTAATAAGAAAGACGGTATGTCCTATATATGGTAGCATGAGTGGAAAATTATTTGTTATGTAATGGACGACGGACGGGCACTGGCGCGGATCCAGTTATTTTGAAAGGGGGGTACAAACCCCTGGAACACTATCAAACGTTCACATTATTAAAAAAACAAAAACAAAACAAAACACAAATACATCACAAATCGATAAAAGGGGGATCCAACCCACGGAACACTCCCTGGATCCGCCAATTGGGCATGATGTACCTTCAATAAACCAAATTTATATGGTATGATCCAAAAGAATATCTCTTTAAGAAGGAAGTTATGCTTTAAGGTCCCTTTTCTTTGAAACTCATATCCTTCCTTGTAGGTTGTGCAGGTAATGTTAAACCAAAACCATCAACCAGCTGTGGTGCAGGTCAACGAAGATGTCCCCCTCAATACCAATGTAACACACCTCCAGCAGGCGGCAGTGGAGTATGCTGTCCTTATGGTATGTTTTACCTTGTCCTTGAAAAAAACATCAACCAAACATTCATCAAAATTCTGAAACGTGTGGTAATTTGCCTCTAAACAAAACTTTTGGCAACGTAACTGATTATTGTTTTGTACATTAGTTGTCGTTGATATCTTATGCATCTATATCTAGAGTGTGTACATTTTATCTATGTTTTTGTTTCAGTATGTCCTCAAATAAAATGCAGCAGACCATGTCCATATGGTTACAAGTATGACAACAATGGGTGCCAGACATGTCAATGCCTACGTGGTAAGTGCATTCCGAAAGATATTGAGCTTTATTTTTTGTCTGGAAAGGGGTGTTGGGGTGATACAATAATTGACAAGTAGTTTATCATTAACAATATTATAATATCCAACAAGAAACACCAATTGTGTTTGGTTATTGCCTTATTGACCCGTATCTCCAGCTATAGATTGATTGATTGGTGTTTAATGCCACTTTCAGGACTATTGTGCTATTTCGTGGCGGTCAGTTTTTGTTGTTGGAGGAAGACGAAGTGACCAAAGAGAACCACCGACCTTCAGTAGGAAACTGACAACCCTAGTCAATTAAGATTGGAGTCGAATTCACCTGCCACTTGCCGGATTCTAGTTATAGACTATTCACGTTGACTTCCGAATGGAATAGTTAATAAAAATGGTATCACACACTGGGGTATTGGCGTTGCATTTAAAAATAGCTATTAATAATGCATCACATATCCATTTAGACATTCTGAATCGAAAAAACAAGTCTGCAACATTTGACTTCATGTGGGACTTCAAATTACTAAACAAAATTATTAATAAAATTGAGAATGGAAATAGGGAATATGTTAAAGAGACACCAACCCGACCAATGAGCAGAAAACAGCCCAAGGCCACTAATGAGTCTTCAACATAGCGAGAAAATCCCGCACCCAGAGGCGGGCTTCAGCTGGCCCCTAAAAATAACAATTTAAGTAAAGGTACCAACGTTATTGTTATATAAGAATTTTACGATAGGCTGGTCCTTTTCTTTGTTGTCTCACTCAAAACTGTTTAACTAGTGCCAATGTTACCAATAAGGGCTAAAATCATATATAGTGTAGTTGTTATTCTGTTATGCTGCTGGAGCACTCGACCTTTGACTCTGTTTCTACATTAATTTGTTCTCGAATTAATTCATGTCAATGAATCTTCAGACTAGTGAATAATACGTAGCAATTCAAACAGACCTTGCTTTGTATTCTAATCGATGGACAGAAAGTTATGTTGCACTCATTAGTTGGAATAACGTAATTCACATAGCTCTTTAAAACAACTAGTTCTTGTAAATATGGGTGTGTGGATGAGATATATAGAATAGAGAATAATGGGCCAACAGTATAAAGAATAGAGAAAAATATCCAAAAACAATTAAGAACAGAAAATAATGGGGTGCTAAAATATAAAGAATGGAGAAAATTTATATAGAATAGAAAAAAACGGCTTAAAAATTTAATGAATACAGAATTGAAGGACCACCTTTCCAGACCTTCAAATATGTAACACATATGTGTTTACATTTCTTTAAAAAAAAAAAAAAATTAGAAATATTAACAACAGAATATCGATTATCTCCTCTAATGGAGACTGGAAGCATAAAAATTGAAATTAGTTTTCCAAAAACTAACACATGAATTATATTTTATTGTAAACTATAGATGAAATCAAAATCTCTATAAATTGCATATTTATGTTCATATAGCATGTGAAAAGGGAACACCCCAAGGAACATGTAGAATAGGACCATTTCCCAGTACACCGTGCCCATCTGGAACCTACTGTAAAAATTCAGTCTGCTGCAAAATCCGTAAGTAACTAAATTTTTAAAAATAATTTATTTCATTTAGTTTTATAGCATTACTTGCCTCTGTAATATACGAGCGATCCTCATTCTTCTAGGCAACACCAGAGGCAACACGGTTTGTCAAAAAAACTTACTGCCTTGCTTTTGGTGCCTTCATAGCGATCATATAATTCAATAACTCAATTCCCCGAGAACTACCTAGATGCGACAATTTGTCAGAGTTTGATTTTCATAGATGAATTCATTAATGTCAAAGAAAGCATTATTCAATTAAATTTAAGATACCGAATACGCTTCATCCAAAGAGCTTTTTTTTCTTTTTTCAAGTTTTCATCCATAACTCTCACCTCATTTTTTTAAACAAGATAGCTAAATATCAACTAGAGGAAACGTTGCCAAAAGAAGTCTGAATGGTAATACACTTTATCTTCTTCTTCTTCTATAGGATATTCACCCTATTTGTATGGTCATCGCATCAAAAATACATGTTAATCATTTCAAGACAACTTATAATTGGGTACGCCAAACACTCGGTCTATAGCAGACTCTTTAGTTGCAATCAAGTTTGTACACTCTTGTTCCACGTATGAGGGTGAACAGTTGTCTATAATTGTCGTTTGTTGGTGTTTATGTCACTTTCAGCGATCTTGGCTGTATCATTGCTACCATGTTTTATTGGCGGCGGAGGCCAGATTGCCCAGACATAGAACCACCGACCTTCAATTAATGTCAGATAATCGCCACGACAAGTGTTGGAACTTACATCTTTAGTGATCATTGTAGAGGAACTATCTAGACCACTCAACCAACAAATCCACTCTGTTGTTGTAATTGATTGATCACTGTAGAGGAACTACCTAGACCACTCGACCAACAAAGCCACTCTGTTATTGTAATTACCGTATAGCCGGTTATTTTCGCGGGGTGTTTTATTTCTCTTATTTTGGCGGGTAAACGAAAATCGCGAAAATAAATTCCGCGAAAATGTATGCACACGTTGGGTACTTTCTAATAGCTAAAGCGTTTTGTAAACGATCTATTTTTTTCCGGTTGGCAGGTCAATAACGGTATATGTTAGTTTTAACAACATAAATGTCATAGGGCATTGTACATACATGCATTTTATAAAATGACTTTCAGGTATGTATACCCTTATTAATAAGTGTCAATTAGAATAAGAGTGCAAGGTATTTATCCTTATTAATTAGCGTCAAACTGTATAAGATTTGTAAACAGTCCTGATAATTTTGTAATCTAATTAGTAAGTACATCAATTTCGTAACTAATCAACCGTAAAATTTACAAAACGTCTGAATACCTGTAACAAATATCTAAGTCACCGGTATTCTATTTATTAATATAATCAATAAATAAGAGGTTATTCAGGTACCAAAAAACAATTAATCATAACAATAGACACTCGTTTGTCAAGTTTTTCAACTTTTTAACTGCAACAATTTCAGTGTCCGCCAAAATTTGTAGTATACTTTGTAGCCCCTAAATCTCGAAATTTTACATCAGCGAAAATAACCCACTATACGGTAATTGATCAATGCAGAGGAACTACCTAGACCACTCGACCAACAAAACCACTCTGTTATTGTAATTGATTGATCACTGTAGAGGAACTACCTAGACCATTCGACCAACAAAGCCACTCTGTTATTGTAATTGATTGATCACTGTAGAGGAACTACCTAGACCACTCGATCAACAAAACCACTCTGTTATTGTAATTGATTGATCACTGTAGAGGAACTACCTAGACCACTCGATCAACAAAACCACTCTGTTATTGTAATTGATTGATCACTGTAGAGGAACTACCTAGACCACTCGATCAACAAAACCACTCTGGTATTGTAATTGATTGATCACTGTACAGGAACTACCTAGACCATTCGACCAACAAAGCCACTCTGTTATTGTAATTGATTGATCACTGTAGAGGAACTACCTAGACCACTCGACCAACAAAACCACTCTGTTATTGTAATTGATTGATCACTGTAGAGGAACTACCTAGACCACTCGATCAACAAAACCACTCTGTTATTGTAATTGATTGATCACTGTAGAGGAATTACCTAGACCATTCGACCAACAAAGCCACTCTGTTATTGTAATTGGTTCATCAATGTAGAAGAACTATCTAGACTACTCGACCAACAAACCCACTCTGTTATTGTAATTCATTGATCACTGTAGAGGAACTTTTTATACCACTCGACCAACAAAGCCACTGTGTTATTGTAATTGATTGATCACTGCAGAGGAACTGTTTAGACCATTCGACCAACAAAGCCACTCTGTTGTTGTAATTCATTGATCATTGCAGAGAAACTACACGGACCAATCGACCAACACAGCTACTCTGTTATTGTAATTGATTGATCATTATTTTAAACCAAGTGATAATGAAATAAATAGAGCTTAATATGTAATAAAATACAACATTAGAACTATTCAAAGAGACAAAGGTAATAAACATGGTTATCAATGCTATTTTTATATTTTGTTCATTTAAAGCTTGCAAATTTGGTGAACCTCATCCAACACTATCCTGTGGAATGTTTATCAACAAGTGTCCAGCTGGATATAGCTGTCTAGGAGGACCAGCTGATGAATACTTTGCTTGTTGTCCTGACGGTAATCATAATTATTTTTTTAACTTTTAACTATTTGTTACGCGAGCTGGTATCAATACATGGCGAGCATGGATGGTCCTTCATAAACTTTTCACAAAATATCCTATCTTGAAACCTTTGCAATGAATTAGCACACTTAGCAACATTATCAACATGTCTTATATAATATTCCGCTTTGAGCGTTCCTGAAGAAGGTAAATCCAGAAAAGCGCGTCGGACGCATGAAATCTATATTTTCATTTTGTATCAAGAATAGATAACTTTAGCTGTATTTGGCAAGAACTTTGGTTAGTTTCTATCCTCAATGCTCTTGTCCCAAGATAGGAACCCCTAGCCTTTGTGAGTCTTGTGTGTGTGTGTTTTTTTTTCTTCAATATATATGTTTCGAAGTTCAGTGTGGTCCATTTCGCTGACATATATAATACACATGTCTCTGCTAAGACCTCTATACTCTAGTAGTAATTGCTATATCGTGATCCCCATGTCCGTCTGTTCTTCCACCAAATATTTTTG